GCAATATCTTGTTACAGAAGCCTATATCAGGTATATGAATAAACTGGTTACTGAATGACAATGATGATGTAATATGCAATATCTTGTTACAGAAGCCTATATCAGGTATATGAATAAACTGGTTACTGAATGACAATGATGATGTAATATGCAATATCTTGTTACAGAAGCCTATATCAGGTTTATAAAGAACCTGGTTATTGAATGCCAATGATGATGTGATATGCAATATCTTATTACAGAAGCCTGTATCAGGTATGTAAGTAACTTGGTTACTAAGTGTAATAATTTTGTGGTAAATTCTTAGGAATTACTGTACCCTTCTTCAGTGGTAACTCTTCGAATATAAAATTTTGTAGTAACCACTAACCTGTTAATAAATAATAAAGTTAGTAAAGTAAAACCTGTAAAGAGAACTCTGTGAAAGATGAAACGACAAGTTAGTTGTCTGATATACTAAATCAGGTATAATAATAACTTGGCAACTACTAAGTTGTTAAAAATCTTGAAATGATAAGTGATAGAAGTCTAGGTAAAGATATCCGAAAATATGTAATAACAACTTAGAAATTACAGTAACCCAATTCAAGTATGTAATAACAACTTAGAAATTACAGTAACCCAATTCAAGAGTAGTAAGGTTCTGATTAGTTAACTGCTTGGCTGTTATAGTAACCCAGGTGTGTCAAAAACATGGTTGCTACAAAACTCTAAGTAGTTGAAGAGATGATGCTAATGTAGACCTCTTCTTTACTAAGTTGGCTGCCACTGTAAAAAAAAAAGTTAAAGTCAAGATAACGAAGAACATCTATATAACTCAAAAGTTCAAAATATATCAAACCTTTACTAAGTAATACAGTAATGTAGAACATACACACATAGAATTATACTTTATTTAATGTATAACTATGTTATACTTAACAATATTAAGTACTAACACTTAAATCTCTACACTAAATATGTTATACTTAACAATATTAACTAGTAACAGTCAAATCTCTACACTAAATATATTATACTTAACAATATTAAGTACTAACACTTAAATATCTACACTAAATATGTTATACTTAACAATATTAAGTACTAACACTCAAATATCTACACTAAATATGTTATACTTAACAATATTAACTAGTAACACTCAAATCTCTACACTAAATATGTTATACTTAACAATATTAATTAGTAACACTCAAATCTCTACACTAAATATGTTATACTTAACAATATTAATTAGTAACACTCAAATCTCTACACTAAATATGTTATACTTGACAATATTAAGTACTAACACTCAAATATCTACACTAAATATGTTATACTTAACAATATTAATTAGTAACACTCAAATATCTACACTAAATATGTTATACTTGACAATATTAATTAGTAACACTCTCTGTACACTCCCTGTTGTGTTTAAACATTATTCAATAATGAAGTACCATGTGAATGGTTTCTTTAGTTGGCTGTATGACACTCATATACATACAAAAAAAGATCATTACACTTTAAAATGAAATATTCCATTCAATAAAGCATGAAGTAAAACTTATTATGGTACCTTAAAAAAAAAATTAGTCAAACAGTCTACAAAACAACTAATCACTAAAATATTGAATGATAAAACTACTTGAGTTTAGTTACTTTATGAGCTTTTCAAATACTATGTAAACCTGGCATTTCATATAGAATTATGTAAGATCAAATTGTTAGTTTAAAATGTTTCAACAACAGAATTGAAATATTTACAAACAAGTTATAGATACAACTATTTTTACATTTCATCATTAAAAAAAAGTTAAACTACTACAATTATCTACTAAGATTGACATTTTTCTTATAGATAACTTAAAGACCTTTTAAAATGATAAAATACAAAATTCGTATTTGACATTTTGTGTTTAGAAAGACCTTGTATATTCAAGTTTGTTGAAGAACCAATACTATTTCCTACAAATGTTTATTTTGTCCACACAAGTTTACTTTAAATACTGGAAGATGGACATTCCTTGTCTAACTGTAGAATCCTTTCAGTCAACAGAAATTTAGCATAATTCAAAACTAAGTAACCTAATTTAATTTAGGTATGTGAATAATGTTACAGATTCTCTTTTCAATTTAACACACACACACAATAAGTAAATACTGGTTGGTTTAATCATCAAACGAGTTTTACGCTGCTTTTCAGCAGCTGTAAGTATCCACAAATTCTGATAAAAAGTATGTTAACAAGTTACACCAAAAGATAAAATAAGTTATACTTAACTGATCACAGTTCCAATATAACCATGAACTGGAATATCTTCTGGATGTTAATGGTTTAGGGCATGCAAAACCTATATTAGCTTCATGAAAACATGCTTAATATTTAAAAAACAAAGAACAAGGTTAACATTATTCATGCACAAGAAACAGCCATGCAGTAGGAAATTTTTTATTTATTTTAAACCATTAATTTCTACTACAGAAAATGTTAAAACCTTAAACAATGTTATGGTTTCACAAACAGTTTAAAAATTATAGCCAGTAAGAAAAGATAAAGGATTAATTCTGTGATCCAGAATATTAATATCACAGATTTAAATTAATGGAAAAAAAGAATAACAGTTTCAGTTGTAAAACATAAGTTTATTATCAGGTAGTTTAGAAGTTTTGTATCACTAGATTATACTTCTGTCAAACAATTGTGTACTTTAGAAATGATAGATAACACTCCGTGTACTTTAGAAATGATAGATAACACTCCATGTACTTTAGAAATGATATGGAACACTCCATGTACTTTAGAAATGATCAGGTAGTTTAGAATTTTTGTTGTACTTTAGAAATGATAGAGAACACTCCATGTACTTTAGAAATGATAGAGAACACTCCATGTACTTTAGAAATGATAGAGAACACTCCATGTACTTTAGAAATGATAGCGAACACTCCATGTACTTTAGAAATGATAGAGAACACTCCATGTACTTTAGAAATGATAGAGAACACTCCATGTACTTTAGAAATGATAGAGAACACTCCCGGAGTGTTCTCTATCATTTCTAAAGTACATGGAGTGTTCTCTATCATTTCTAAAGTTGATGAATCTTTGGATGTGCAAGCTTTACTTAGAATATAAGTTTTCTGTTCACACCATTTTAAATATAATTATCCTAATATAAGTTTTCTGTACACACCATTTTAAATATAATTATCCTAACTTCAAATCATACTTTTATTTTACTTTCCCTAATAAATTTGATTTGGAAGCATTTCTACAAAATATTAATAATCACAGAAGGACTTACAAAATGAGACAACAGTAAACCAAGAGTGTCACAAAAATTAAATTGTATATTTTAGCAGATAAAAATATGACTAGAAGCACCTGCTTAAAAATCCAGTAACTCTTTTCAATTCAGTCGTTAACAAAGATGACAGATCATGCGAAAGGTTGTAATATAGTGAAATAATGTCATAAATACTTTTTATAAAATAAAAAAGTGATTATTCTAATTTTATATCACTTGGGATCATTCCATTATACACTGGCAAAGATATAAGCTTAAATGTTTATATTGCAGAAGGTATTCTTCTGAACAGTTACAATAAGGCAGTGTTTGAAGAAAGTTAACTGAAGATTACTGTCAACACACAACATTTTGGAAGAGTGCCCTTCCTCAGGTGTTTATTTATGACTAGCCTCCTGACTCCCAAACCAGGGAGAAGTTTTTTAAAATGGAAGACTTCACATTTCGTTATCAAACACCATTTAATAAAAGGAATGCTGTTTATTTCAGGGTTAATTATTTCTATAACATACGTGTGTGCATATAACTATATATACACACATAACTTAAAGTGATGAACAAAGAAGATTGAATTTTTTTTAAATCTTTAGAATCTAATAAAACCATGATTTTTTTATTGGTTTCTTTTTCAATTTGAATCAATAAATTAGTCTGTCTTTATTCAAACTAATATAAAACCATTTTCTAAGTTACATCACACCATCAACAACCGACTGGCTAAAATTCAATGAAACTACACTTGTATTCCTGACAAAAGGTAAAAGTATTACGACTTCCCTTGTGCCACATTATACTAATGATTTCAGTGGGAAATCAACCCAAAATTATATAAATAACTACTTTATTGAATTAATTAGTGTTTTATTTTTCCATTATGTGTAAGAAACAACTAAAGTTTATTTTTCTATAATTGATTTAACTGATTGGTGCAATTTCACACATCCAGGTGTCAAAGAATTAAGCAAGATTTTCTAACTGGGTTTTTGCTATTTCAAGAAACAAGTATTACCTATTTTAATTAGCTTTAGTAAGGCTAATTAGTTACACATATTTATTGTTTGTTCTCACATCGAATACTTTCATTATATTTTTCTTGCTTTATTTCATTACTTTCAAAATGTGTATTATCCCATATTTGATTTTAAATAACCAGGTAATCTTTTTATAAAATTTCAATGGTGTATATTATTACATTTTAAATAATCATGTAAAATTTAGTACATGTAAACCTAGAAGTTTGATTTAAACTACTGATTATGCTCCTAAAAGATAACAAATTCAACTTACAACACTCCAAACTAAGACTGAACATTATTTAAATTAGCAAAGAGGGGAATAACATCAAATAAATCAAAAACAGAACCAGAAGTGAACAACTGAGTAGTTTGGGATTACATAAAATAAATAATTACAAGAATTGTCATGTTTAACTATTTTAGAAACATTTAAATGTTTTTATAAAAAAATAGCTATATTGAAATATTTTTATTTCTCCAAATCATTAAACCAAAAAAAATCCCTCCAATAATACAAGTTAGTAACTGTCTATCAACAGAGGTTTTATAAATTAAGTGAATAATTCCATCTAAAAATCAAGACAGAAAGTAATTAGAAATTTCTTTAGTATACAAGAATATATACATGCAGGATTTCTGGCAAGCTTTCAATAGCATTTAAACAATCTGTCAGGTAATGAAAGAGTACTAAAAATGAAAATAAAAAATGTATCCAGGAACTAACCTACTACTTGTATTCAAGTTAAGGAACATATTTTCCTACCTATATTGAATGTTTTCACTAAATAAAAACTTTAATCTAAATATAACAATGAAAATTAACATTCTTTACATTTTATATTATGTTTAATATTAAAAGCTTCTTTGAGAAGAGGAAAATGTTCTCTCCACTAAACTTGATGAATTTATGACTTAATATTTCTTGGAGTTTTTTTTTTTATTACACCAGGAGTGTGCAATACAAATCTTAAAATGAAATACGCTATTAAAAAACATTCCTTTTTCATGATTTCTTCTTGTGTCTCACTTACTAAAGTTGTCCTGTGGTGTTAACGGACGATCTATAACCTGCTGTAAAGCAGTTAACCACTCCTGTCGATCTTGGTCTCTATCTGATCCAAATACAAACAATCGCTCTGGAGTCTGAAGTGTAAAACCAAAACCATATGTCTTCACACCCTCAGGAACTTTGGGTTTAATACCATAACCATGGTAACCAAGAAATATTTCTCCTTTTGGATAGGGATCCTGGAAATACAAATGTACAGAGAATTTGGAAGAGTCTAGATTACTACAAACAACAAAAATAAAATTATAGAGATCTTTATAATACATGTTCTACATTATTACAAAGCTGTTTATTGTAAGAGATCTTTATAATACATGTTCTACATTATTACAAAGCTGTTTATTGTAAGAGATCTTTATAATACATGTTCTACATTATTACAAAACTGTTTATTGTAAAAGATCTACATTGTGTTTATCAACAAAGAAATATTCCCTTCAGGACAGGTTTTATTAAAACACAATCAAATCATCTACATGAAGATATTGAACAAAATTGTACTTTTAAATACAAAAAGTATTTTTCCAACTGTATTTTGATCTTGAAATACAAGTAAGTGTTCTAGATGATTACTAACAAATGTTTTTTTATTCCTTTGAACGGAGATCCTAGAAAGAGAGGTGTATATTCTAGATGTATTCATTAATGTGGTGATTATGAATCACTTGATTCTGAAGGTGTTATGAAAAGTTAACAACAGGCCTACTGCTGCCATCATTTATAACACCTGATCAAATTATCTAAACGTATTTCATTATTATGGAAGAAGGTATTTCTGAACAAATGTGAAGTAAAAAAAAATGACTACATTTCTATGTAACATAAACAGACAGAACATTGATTTTAACTTAATACAAAGTTGCATGATTTGTAATTCTTATGAATGTTGTTCTTGTGGCAAGGATTTGGGATTTAATACTTGGGGGTGCTCAAAATAAATAATTTCCTTTTATCACACTCACAATATAAGATGTATAAAGGAGACTGGGACATGGAAGATGGAAAAAAAAATATCCATAAACTTTGTCCATAGAAATTCCATTGTATTCGTGAATGTTTTTACGTATGTGTTGTATCTCTTCCAAAATGTAATCTCTTCATCATCACAATGATTCAAAAAATAGTCCTTTAGCAACTCATCTTTCACAAAAGTTCAAACATTACAGCAGGAAATCCACTATTAAATCTTAATAAGTTTGAAATATATTCCAATGCATCTGACATACTTTGAATGTAAAAAACACACTAAATTGCTTAATTCAAAGAAGACAAAAACTGACAACTAATGTTCAAGTAGATGATGGATGTTTAACATACAGCTGAGTGTATTATAAAGGTAACTAATAGTGTCTTATTGGTTTTACAGATAAGTTGAACATGAATTTCCAGCTATACGTTTACTTACTACAGACAATTTTTGGTTATGATAAGGGTTTTTCTTCTAGGGAAACATCATTTAAATAGATGTCACAACTAACGATGGGTTTAAAATACTATTTGATTTACTTACAAGAGGATTTTCTAGATACATTAGTTTTCTGTCGTCCAAGGAACACCAACGAAGCTTATAAGAATCACCACTTCTTGGACCCATTTTTCTTAGCCATCCTTCCTTAAGAAAATCCCTAGTAAGATGTCGTGCTAGTTCTAATTCACTAGTTCCAGGAAAAGCCACTTGAAGCCGGTTGAGTTTTGCTGACCTGATAGCTGTATACCAGTGAATTATGTCCTGAAAGTACAGAAAACTAATAGTTGTGTACCAGTGAATTATGTCCTGAAAGTACAGAAAACTAATAGTTGTGTAGCAGTGAATTATGTCCTGAAAATACAGAAAACTAATAGCTGTATACCAGTGAATTATGTCCTGAAAGTACAGAAAACTAATAGTTGTGTAGCAGTGAATTATGTCCTGAAAGTACAGAAAACTAATAGCTGTATACCAGTGAATTATGTCCTGAAAGTACAGAAAACTAATAGCTGTATACCAGTGAATTATGTCCTGAAAGTACAGAAAACTAATAGCTGTACACCAGTGAATTATGTCCTG